GTCCTTAAAAAAAATGTTACCACATATTATTGTAGGTAACTAACCAAAGCCTGCATCACTTCTGGATGTTTCTCAAAATCTGGCAAACCTTCTAGAATTTCAGCGAAGTTATGATTTTTGATAATATTATCAACATCAGCACGATATTCTTAATAAAATGGTTACGTAATGATCTATAGCACCGGTAACTAACTTCCAGAATCGTGATACTCGTCATCATCGAAATCAGAATTGCAACTATCCGAGCTGCATGAGTCCTCATACAACTGAAAATGATAGAACTAAGAGTGCAAAGAATTTTTTCAACGTACTTCTGGATCGACATAAATCTCCTCGTCATCAATATAGTCGTCCAAACCAAAGTAGTTAGATTTCTTCATTATAGTATCTATGTGACACATGGATCGATTGCTTGCCGCGAATTCCGGCTTAACGAGCACATCGCTTCGCCAATAACGTTTCACTGCTGTGTGTGGTCTACTTTTGAAGAAAGTATTGTATTCATAGAACACTTTCGGGAAAACGCATTCAGGATGTTCTGGCAAAAATTCTTCTCCTCGTAACGCAGCAGCATCATAAATACCACTTTGAGTATCTCTCCAGGCACGAAGATAGAACTTAGCGCTTCTTTTCAAACACAATTTGGTTCTATTATATGGATGCTTTAAGATCGTGAACCATATTCTAGAATGTTGGACATATTCCATGAATTCTCGAGACACTTTGGGCAAGCCACATCTGTTGTTATGATATGTTGTTTCTCTATCAGAATCAGTTCCAAAATCAGAACTTTCACGCACACCAAAGTTTGTGTTTCTATACTTCGACTTAGCTCTCAGAATTAAGCGGTCTAAAAGCGGCATTTCATCTTCAGAGTCATCGTCTGAATCTGTTTCATCGGTTAGGCCGTTCATAGTGTCTGAGTCATCCGTTAGTTCTGAGCCATCATCTGAGTTATCTTCATCGTCAGCGTCATTTCCTTCATCTTCTTCATCAAAATCAACATCCATTCTACCCGTTTCTTCAGTGAAGTTATCACCTGCGTTCTCTTCTGTAGCATTCTCAAGCTGCTTAGACTTATACGTATCGGTTTCTTCTCTGATTTCTCCGTCAGAATTTTCAGAAGTCACTTCAGAACATTCTTTCGATTCTTCTCCTGGCTTTGCATTCCTCATAGCATCTTTCAACCTCAAGTACTTTGCTCGTTCATCCAGTTCCTCTTGTTTAATTCTGCCATACTTTTTGTCAAAGTAAGAAGCTAATCCAAAGCGAGCATGCTTCGAGTTGTAGTATCTGTTCTTCCTAACTTTCTTCTTCACAAAGTTCTTGGTTTTCTCGTCTTCAATAGAGCTGCAGCTACTGATACCTAAATCCAAAGGCTGAAGAAAAGGTTTCAGCTCTGCTACGTACGCGCCATCCATATTAAATTCTTTTAACACTTTCTGATGTTCATCGTCTGTTTGAAATCCAGTGAATTCGTCATCCTCACTTTCATTGTAATAAACGTCGTAATTGCCGAATTCGCCAGGAGATTGTATGCGAGAAGTGTTTAAGATTTCTTGCTTATAAGTTTTCTCAAAACTTTCATCTATTTTTTCCAGGTTCCTATCACCAAACATAAGGTCATGAAACCGAATACACCGACGATTGTATTTATCCTTCGGTTGCTTCCTATTCAACATGTAATAATAAGCAGTGAACTCTGGATGCTTGTTGAGTGATTTATAACGTCGTTTGCAGATGTAGGAAAAAAACAAGTCATTCATTTCGACTTCAGGTGGATCCTCCATGAACATCTTACGGAAGTTTACTTTCCATCGAAGATTTTTATCAGTGTATGAGTCTAATAGACCAGCAAGAAAGTTTTTCAAATACAAGTTCTGCATGTCCTTAAAGTGTTGTTGAGCTAAACGTGCCAGCTCTTCAGCATCATACTCCTCAACCTCATACTCTTCATCATCATAATAATCTTCTTCAACTACTCGTCCTTGTTGACCCACATTCTTCATACATTCTTCTTCATCGTGTTCCTCTTCTTCTTCATCTTCGGCTCCGAACTCTTCTTCATTTTCATCTTCGAACTCTTCCTCGTCCTCATCGGTATATTCCTCATCTTCATCCTCGAAACTGTCCTCATCAGGATGTAAATCGCTAACCGGAACGATTTTAATTTGACGATCGCCCACGGTTTGTGTAATACGGCGGGCTCCAATATGTCCTGGAGGGAACACGGTACGCTTAGCGTAGTTTCGAAATTTAGTGTTCCGAGGGAGTTCCTCTTCTTCATCATCTTCGTCGTACTCTTCTCCATTTCCATCATCTTCCTCATCATCTTCTTCGTAATTCCGCATTGAATCATTCTCTCTCCTCTGACGCTCATCATTTCCCGGGTACGTAGAAGTTCGAGCGGTACTTTCTTGAGATGATTGAGGATCATTGTGGTCGCAATCTAATTTTGCCGCTACATTTTGTTTCTCAGTTCTTCTTAATACTCCAACATTCGTACTTCCGCTAACAGATGTTGGCTGAACTGATCCCTCTGCTTTTACTTTTTTTGTCTCCGGTTCTGTAGCTTGTGAAGATTGAGCTTCATTTTTTCCTAAGTCTAAGTGCTTTCTTTTAAGTCCTCTCTGCTCCGCGTTAGAGTTAGACGATTCAACTTTGCTTTCCGCATCTTGGACAGTTTTTTCTGACTTTACACTAACCATCACTTTATCATCAACAGAACACTCCAAGTCTTCCAATTCCCATTCATCGTCATCCGATTCCTCTTCGCTAGATATCATAGGAACGGCTTTCAAAACCTCTTCTAAAGTGTTATAATGAATAACAGTTTTCAGGAGAGAAGTGGTAGATTCATCATCTGGTGTTTCTTCGCTACCTAAAATAACTGTTTGAGAGAAAACAATAATCTGTATTACCACTCTTATTCGATGGTACTGGCTTGCACGTACCGATGATATTCAAACATTTCTCTAAATCACCTTAAAAAACAGTATAAAATGTAAATATTATTGTTTCAATCAAAAATTACCATCTTCATTCAGTAAGTTCACAGCTTTTGAAAAATTGCTAACAACTCTTTTTGCTCTGCCCTCATCCGGTTCCATTCCTATGAAGGTATTGTAATATATATATCACCATGTAATGAACAACGTACCAAGATCATGAGTATTCGCTGGTTTTGTCAAATTGCGAATATTCTCCATTACTATAGCTGAATCAGGTTTTTCAAGTGCACGGTAATAATCAGTTGATTCTTTTTGATTGGCTTCTTCATATTCTCTAACTATACGAGCATACTCCTGTCGATCAGGCCACATCTTAAGAGCATAATCATAAAACGTTTGTACTGCATGACATGAAAGAAGATTAAAAGAAATATAAAAATGACTCACAGCTTTGACTATAGCATCAAATCTTTTATCTGATCTCAAATCTCTTTTCGATATAATTTTTGACCGGCATGTAGGGCATTCACGATTTCCTTTGTGAAGTGCCATATTTATACAATCAGAACAGAAACGATGTAAGCAATCCTAAACAGTATGATTACACTATATACACATCCTCAATCCTTACCTTAGCTGTTACTGTTTTAAATAAGAGATCTAAACAAATTGGACACGTAAATTCTGATGTTACTATTGGTTTATCCCCTTCTACTAATGCGAAATCCGTATACGGTAGAAACTCTTTACTGCGAGCCTAGAATAACAAATTAAGATTTTCTATAATCTTCTTCTATCTAAATAGCTTACTTTGTCATAATCATCCGCTGTTATGATCTTCCGCGTTGGTGGCACGTCCGGCTCCGAGCTTTCTCGCGATGTCATTGCGATTTATATAATATTCTAAGCTATAACCAACAATTCTAAAAAATATAAAATTTTATATTATATAAACATTAATATAAAAAGCAATAAACATGTGGAAAAAAGTGAGAAAAGGCTATGTTTGAGTTGGTTTGAGCACTATGAGTTAGCGTCAAATAGAAAATTAAGGTCGTAAAATGTGTGAGCGAAAGCGGTTTAATATGTTATTAAATGCTTAGAATGTGTATCGTTGTAGTTTCATACGTATTGATTAGCAAAAGAAGATAACTGTATGTTTTTATATAATAGAAATAACATATGAAACTAAACTTTGAAAAAAAGAGTAAAAATACGAAGAAAAGCACTTCATTCTGTTTATTTCTTTTTCGAAATGGCAAAAAAAATCGATATTTAACGGGAATTTTATACTACAAACTTCTCAATGGAAAAAGGACGCGAAATTTTTACAATATAAGTATCCAATTGCCTTGGCGGCGCCATCCGTCATTGAACAGATTGCGAAAAAATAAATGATTTTGAATTTTTCTTCTCTGCGACAGGAACGCGCTCATTTTGACCTACTTCTTGAACTAGATAAGTCTATTAAGTGTCTCTCTTTCTCTATTGTCTGCTATAAAGCAATATTTCAATGACATGGCATGTTATATCGATTCATTATTTAATTGGCTGCTTAGGGGTAACGAACTATTGAGTGAAGGTGAAGAAAGAATTGCTATTGCCAGCTTGATTGCTACTCATGTATTGTTGATAGTGTTGAAAGAACAAAAATCAAAACTAATGAGAAATGAATAATAGTAACAAAAAGTGAGAGAGGAAGTGTGAGAGAAAGGAAGTGTGAGAGAGAGAGAGAGAGAGAGAGAGAGAGAGAGAGAGAGAGAGAGAGAGAGAGAGAGAGAGAGAGAGAAAAGAAGAGAGAGAGAGAAAAAGAAAGAA